GTCCCCTGTGGGAGCATTTGTGTGCCGTTTGGAATTGGTGCCCATCACTTCTTCCAACCTTCCCTTGGCCACGGCTTAGCTTGGTCCCAACCTAACTGGAGGGGGGCTGGGGAAATGATGAGCTATGGGCCCAGTAGGTTTGGTAAACACAGCATTGCCTCTGCCACAGTACCACCAAATCACAGGGTTTCTATCCTGTTACCGTTGGTGGCTCCACAGCCCTCCCTGGAAGAGTTTCAAGGTCTTTCTCAACTTGTTTGTGGCCACTAGTCCAGCCATTTCCCTCCCCAAGCCAGACCTGAGCTCTGGTGGGCAGGCCTCCTCCAGGCTCCTGCCCTCACCTTGGGCCCTGGCCCTAGTACCCTGCCACCTTGTGTTTCCTCCTTTCAATGACCTCATCCTTCTGGAAGGAACCCATAGCACTGGGAATCTGCACTCTGCACTGGGGCAATGAAATGCACGACTCTGACCCACTCTGAGGGCAGGAGACAAAGTGATGTAGGACGCAGAGGAGGCCCCCAAACAAGGCCTTGCCAATGGGAGTAACTTCACCAAAAATTCAAGGCCAAGGACAACACTGTGGCCACGGTTGAGACCTGTCAGCACACCTGAGATTTAGCAGTTTGGAGACAACCTAGAGGGACATTCAGGAGCCCATGAGAACAGCGCAAAGTGGAAGGAAGAATACATTGGAGACAATGGCGTGGTTAGTGGAGGAGTGAGACAGCTGTCCATACCTCACTGCTCAGATCTGTCCCTGCCCCTACGGGCCCAGCTGCCCTGTAGGCACACAAAGGCTGTTGTGGAAGGTCTGTGGCTCACAAGCTGCCTGGAGGAGTGTCTGAGGTACCTGCCAGGGGTTTTCACTCTTACCTCCATAACTGCCAAGTGCTTCCTCTGAGGCAGTCTGAAAACTGGTAAATGCTTTTTTTTCCCTTTAGGTTCTAATGAACAAAATGTAAATATAGGCAAAACAATGCAAAATCAAAATGAAACACTCAGAACAAAAGCCACATTTTTACCAGATCTACTTTTATTTCAGAAGGAAGTTTGTATTATAGTATTTACTTTTGTTTATATACAAGTTCTTCACATTTGTGTTTAAAATGCACAGACCTCCCTTAGTTCTCTTGTTCCTGCTTAAATTAGCTGTTATTTTACAATACAAAAAATACCAAAAAATTGCAGTCCTAAATGTATGTATAACACCCACAATCCCCAGCAATGAAATAGTTTACAATACTTACTCCATATTTACATGAGTGTAATAGATGCTAAATTATACATATTAACAAACTAAGCTTGAATCCAAACAAACGAAACCGTAAATAACTATAAAACAAAAACATTTCCAGAGCCAGAATTAGTTCAACGAAACAGGCTTCACTAGTGTTTAGAATGTTTTGTGCACAAATTCAGTTACTGAAAGTCAATTCCATTATTGCCTTTAAAAGAGAAGGCGCCAATTTTCCTCTCCACTTCAAAACATCTCCTTGTAGGCAGGGTGTTTGACTCTCATCAAGGGGCAATGTCTCTTGGTGGGCCCGGCTATTTAGAAACCACCACAGTGGCTGAAGCCAAGTTTGGTCAATGGGGTAAACATTTCAGAAGGTAGGCAGGGCATGCCCTGAGGACAGGAGGCCTCTGCCATCCTGGCTCTGTCCTCAGGATAGCCAGTTCTCACAGAAACTACCACAAGGAAAGATCTCCTGGGTTGACAGGGGTGTGAGGCCTTGGATTTTAATTCTAAAATCTATTTTTACATCTAAGTCACTACCCTAGCATTAGCTTGGGTTAGTGTTTAGCAAATACTTGTTGAATGGATGGGTGAATAAATGAACTGGAAGGATCAAAGATGTTCATGAAAACACCACCATCTCCCAAGGAAGTGAATCAGCCCCTGGCCCCAATACACCCCATTAAATCAAAGGAGCAGGATTTGCAATGGAAGGTAAAATGCCTCTTCCCACCGGCAGTGCCCTGCTCTTTTTATTTCCCAGGTGTCTCCAGTCTTGAATGGCAGGCCTTACCCATGGGTAGTCCAGGACTTTCCTTCTGCTGACAGTCTTCTGTCTAGGACTGCCTTTTCTCCAGGTTAGCTCAGGGGATCTGGGATTGCCTTCTCTCCACACAGGGAGGCGCAGGCTTCTTTCCAGGCTATGTGCAGGGACGGCAGGAGGCACACAGGAGTTCAGGGTTATGTCGAATTCTCCACGGGGAAATGGGAACTATTTATCAACAAACTAGCTCCCTTCTCTCACTCCCAGTTTTCAGTATAATAAACTGATTCCAGGAAATGGTCATTAAAAATTTAGACAAAACTACAAAAAATGGAGAACCCCCCTTTGGAAAGTCTGATTGCCACAGGTTATAGTCTTTGAACTTAAGACTAACAGAAACATTTCTCAGGACAAGACTGCTCATCCCTCACTCCCCAGAGTACCAAGAGGCCGCCAGAAAGGGTCATGATGTGCTTGCAGGGCCAAGGGCAGCAGCAGAGATGCCTCTGCCTCCTGAGTCTCCTCAAGCGCTGCCGTTTTGATTCCCTGCCTGATTTTTCATATGACTCTGACAGATGGGTCCTGTTTTAAGAAATACCTAATTGGTGCCAGATGCATCTGAACACATCACACAATGGGGATGAGTTTCTTGGGTTATTCATGTATTAGGGCCTGGCAAGAGGAACTCTCGGAACCTGGATACCCAGCATATGGCACAAAAACATCTTAGATGAAACTCAGACATTGTTATATTTAATAAAAATACATGAAGATTTTTTCTGTTTTATGTACACTCCGAATGTCTGAGCATTCTGGACACTACTGTATAGTTATGTACAAGTGCAAGGTCAGTGTTGTCTTGACTATTTTAATTTATATACAGGCTCTCTTGTGACACGCAACATTGCCAGATGACAACCCATTCCTTCTTGGTAACAGGCTCCAAGCCCAGTGCCTCTTACTCCCTGCCATTCCCTTTTTCTGCCCTGAGGCCAGAGGAAGCTGTTTGCTGTTGGTTGCAAAGGAGAAGCAGGTGGATTCAGCGGCTTCCCCACTGCTGGAGCAGAATGAAACTTCACTTGCTCCTTCCTTCCTTTTTAAAAATAAACATTATCTTTTAGGAAAAAAAATAAGACATAACCAGATGGCTGTGGGTCATGGTGCATGATATTTCAAGGCATAAGACTAACATGGGAAAGAGACTTCTTTGGCCAAGGAAAACTGGTTCTTTGAACAAACAAAGAGGATCTTCCTTGTGGGAGGACAATGCCCAGGGGCCTCCCTTTTGCCTTGCCGGCGGGGCGGAGTGGGGGGGGTGCGGGGGCACTGTGGGAATTGATGGGCCAGTCCACTGCAGGTGCTATGGGTGCTGTTTTCTGTAGCAGGGATAGGGGAGCTCATGAGAGGAGGGGTCTTTTCTAGAACGTCTGCTCTTCAACAATAATGTGAAAAAGAAGCTTTATGAGAGGTGAGTCTCAAAGTAGAGGTGTTTTGTGCATCAGATAGTGTTTTATGGTTCAACTTCCTTGAAAACATCTTTCCAGGCAATTCTTCATGGGAGTGGAGTTAGTGTTGGGGAAGAGACAATACTCTCTCTCTAGGCATGGCATTTAAAGGTAAAATGCCACAGTTTTGGCTCTTTTGAGTATTTCTCCAAATTCACAAACTCGAGCATTGCTGTCCAGCGGTCCATCCCAATAGAGTAATGCCAGAGATCCCAGGTTTTGAAGCAGAAGAGAGCTTATGGGAGGCGGCCGCGTAATGCCAGAACGGAGCACCATAAATCGGGAAAACACAATTTCCAGGCAGTGCCCTCTGGGAGAGGCGCAGGGGACTGTCCCACTCTCTTAAATTTAAATTTGGTCATTTTCCATTTGGCATAGAGTTTTCCCTCCTCATCCATTTTTTTTCCATGTGCTTTTCATCCTTGTCAGCATTTGCGGCCCTCCTTACAGTCACCACCTTGGTCTGAGAGTGAGGGTGGGTGGGGGGGTGGGTCGAGCCCCTCCTGGGGGAAAGAGGGCAAACAGGTCCTTCTCTAGGCTTTGGGCAGCTTCTGCCTGACAATGGGAGGCTGTCTCTCTCCTGGCATCTGAGTCCACCCATGCCTGAGAATGAACCACAAGTTCAGAGGAGGCTGCAGGACACACAGCTGCTCTCTGATCCAGGGGTCCCAAGTGTTCTCAGTGCTCTTTTCTGCTCAAGGAAACGTGACATGAATTAGTCCCTTCCTCTGATCACTTATCAGGCCTAGGGTGACATGGGGGTGGGGGCAAGGGGCGCCTTCTTGACAGTGTCCTTTTTGATAATAAAAACAGGAGCTTTCACAGTTCATTCATTTCTGCTTTCCTCTCATCCCTGCTGTTAGGTCAGACGTTCCTTGGGGTGAGAAAATTCTTTCCTGGCTGCAAATCAGATTTTAGAAAAAAAGCAGATTGCCAATGGTAGCTATTTAAATTTTACAAGAATGTAGGAATGCAATTATGTAAAAACTTAGGCTTACTAACTTTCCAATTGCTAGATCTATTTAAAGTCTAGGCACTTAGTGTTGTGTGTATGTATTTGTGTGTGTATGTGAGAGAGAGGGAGGGTAAGATGGAGAGGGAGAAGGAGAGGGACAGGCAGAGAGAAAGGAAGAGAGAGTTTCAAATGGATTAAGACTAAATTAATCAAGTTGCTATAGAAAACTACCTGTTATACCAGTTTACATTTGAAGTAACGCTGCTGACCTTGACATTGAAAATAGCCCCCCTTCTATCCTAGCTTGATATGATCAAAAGAGATGGACCATTATTAATTCTCAACTAGAAAAAAAGGTACTCCCTGGAAGAGAGATAATTGCCTAAATCGTGCAAGAATAAACAGCACATCTTTTAAAAAAGATAGCAGGCTTCAGATGAAAACAAGTTAATTCATCTGACTAGTTTTTAAAAGACCATGTTCAAGAACAACTGATGACGAACATCTACTTGTAAACACTCCATCTTTTGTTTTTTGCAGTTGAGACAGTCCCAAGAACAGTTTTCCACAGTGAACCTGAGTGTCATTCCTAGTTCTCTCACTGGCTCTACACCGGCCTCCTCCAGCAACCATCAGCTCATTCCTGGACCTGTAATTAAATCAAGTATTTCCTATGCAAAAGTAAAAGGTTAGATGCTGGAACACAGATGGGAGAAACCGTCAAAGAAAGCTTGTGATCATGCAGGTGAGTCAGATGCTTTGAGGGTTTCCAGTCTTCTGCCCCGCACCGCACAGCCGTTTCCCCGCCGCGTCCTTCTCTGCAGACAGCTCTGGTGTGCCACTCACTGGCTCGTGCGCGGGAGAGTCCCTGGTCCCAGAATCAGATGCAGGTCCCAGGCTGTGCAGGGGGCTGCTGCTTCCGGTTTCTCACGGCTCCTGACTTCTCCTTGTACACTATCGGCATCTGCTGAGAAATGTCCACCAGGGCGCTGGCCACAGCAAGACCTTGGGAGAACCACAGAGAGAACATAGGTTGGGAGCAGCTGGCTTTTGTTTTAAAAAATAATGTAAACATTTATTTTGCAATCCCATGATGTAAAACAAACCCAAAAAAAACCAAAATAAAAACCCCCAAAAAGGTACACATACACAGGGAAAAGTCTTCCTTCCACCCTGACCCTCCCTCCACCTTCCTCTCCATCTGGGTAAATGTTTTCACTAATTTTTATGTATTCTTTCAGTGTGTATTTATGCAAATACAAATACATATTCTTCTCCTTTCCCTACTTTTTACACAAAAGGTGTAGTTTGCTTTTCAGCACATCAACCAAGCAGAGTGCTCTGCTTGGTGGTGGGAACACATAAATGAGATTGCAGACATATGCTAAGTGCCCAATTTCTCCTGCCTGCCTCCAAAAGGAGCCAAGAAACAGCAGCACCCTTTATGATGAGATTTGGATTCACCCACATCATTCAGTTAGCATCAGTCACTTCCATTCCATACCACGATACAGGCAGGGCAGGCTCTGGGGCCAGGCTTTGGAATAAGCAAAGTTCTTTAACCTCCCCATGCCTTAGTTCCCTCATTTGTAAAATGGGGATAATAATAGCACAGGGCTAATGTGAAGTCAATGAGTGAACTGACATAAAGTCTTAGTACCTGGCAGGCATAAAATCTTAGTATCTGGCACACAGCAACCAACGATCAATAGCAATTACCCTTCATGCATACACTGCCCCGCCGCCCACTTTGCTTTGGCAACTTGCAATCCTGTTTTCCTTCCTGTATTGGTAACAGAGTAATCTGACATCCATTAGGGAAGGCACGGTTCTGGGGGACCTGGATTCCTAATACGCGTGGGAAATGGCCAGCGCAGGCTCGGAGCCCTGCTGAGACCTGCCAGGAGCTGTGTTAGTGGAGCGTGTTACTCGCCTTGCTGAGCCTGTGAAGGGGACTGGGGGTGGGGATAGACAGCTCTAAGTGCCTGGCACATAGTGGGGAATGCTCTAGGAGTCCAGAAAATGGCACCACTTAAAACAGGGGGTACAGAAAGGGCAGCAAAGACGGCCCCATTGTTGGGTGAGTCTCAAGCAATGAACAGACCTTTATTAGGTGTTTTGGGTGGTTGGGGCACGTCAGGCAAAGGCTGGAGCAGGAAAGGCTACAGGGCTGCACATCTGTCACCTCGCTGCCCCAGCCACCACCCTGCCTTCAGGGAGCATCAGTCACTGTTTGCTGGGCTGGGTGGTGGCAGGAGACACAAATTGCACTTGAATGACAGATCAGAGAGTTGTCCTGGCCTCAACATGGGCAAGGCCGAGTTAGGGACTCAACTCACAGGAATCCCTAGGCGAGATGAAGACAATGAATCCTGGCCAAGCCATGCAGAAAGGCCTCCCTTGTGAAGATACCACAGATCCTAACCGTTCTAAAGCTGTGCTGGAGGATCTTCTGGGTCTGAGGGTGCACTGAAGGGACAGTGGAGCTCAGGGCCTGGACCAGTATCCTGAGGCAGCCTTTCCACCAGACACAGGGTTCTCTCTGGCTAAGGTAACCCTGACCTCAGAATCATCTCAACTGAAAGTTGTCTAAAATGATCACATTGAAGCATCCTCCAAAGCACTCTGTAATTAAGCGAGATACTTTCAAAACTGTATTCCATATTTTCTGTCTTCAAAATAGGAGTTTATATAATTACGATTCATATATTTGATGGAGAAGTGTCACACGCATTGGTAAAATATTATGTAGTAGGCTGTAAAAATGTTTAAGATAGTTATATGAAAAAAGCAGAATAAAAATTAGATCTATACAATCATTTCAACTAAATTGCTGGTCAGGGCTGGAAAGAACACAGAACGATGAAAACTGGAGGGTTGTGGGACAGCTGTGCGTGGATTATCAGACGTTTCCTTTATGTTATCGTTGTGTTTGTACCTTATATTTAAAACAGAGAAAAAGCAAAAGAAATGCAGGAGGGCTAGAAATACCAGTTGAAGAAACACCAGCCCAGGGCAGATGGCTGGAAGTTGTGGAGTGGAGAAGGCGACCGAGGAAGAGCATGCAGAGTGAAGGGAGCATGCCCAGATTCAGGGGTAGGACAGGGCAAAGGAGACAGGGAAAGAGCAGCAGAGGCAAAGGGGTACCAGAAACTCTGACAGCAAAGGAAGGTGTGCTCAGAGGCATCCACGAGCACTGAGAGGCTGGGGAGGCAGGAACGCTGAGGAGGTCCCGGGACGTCCCCCCAGGAAGGGATGATGACCTTGGGAAAACAGTTTTGGGCATATAGATGAAAATGGGATTATCTCACTGAATCCTTGCCATGGCATGGGCAGGCACTGTTGATTATCACCTTCATAACCTTGTTCTCTAGGAAAGGGAAGTATCCCATGCTTAGCTCCCTCACATGTTTAGAAGGTGTCTGTCGCTGGCCCGTATCTACTCACCTGACTGCCCAGGAGGAGGGATGCCACCCAGGCCTCGAGGGAGCCTCACAAACACAGAGAGGACAGCGGCTTTGTTGCCAAAACATGGCTCCAGTGCAATGGGTTTGGGAACAGTCTGGCGGAAGAAAACAAAATTACCTAAAGTGATAAGCTTTAACGTACACTTACAACTTAATGGTCATTGGTGCTTATAAGAACCATCAATTTTAGGTCTATAAAAAAGGTACATTGCAGTTTTTAAGAAAACAAAAAAGGGCAGGTGAGAGCTAACAGTACTCTCTGAGCACCAGTGACAGGGGTGGTACTGCTTGCTACCTTCCACTGAGGTCTCACAGTCTGCTGCCAAAGGGCTGCATGAACTGTAGGGAAGGGCTCATGCCAAGTGGGTTTCTTCTGGATGCTGTACTTTCGCTCGATTTGAAATTCTAACTCAGAATTGTAGGTCACAGGAATGGCAGTGGTGAGTGCTCGGTAGATTTGTCAGATAGTTCTGCATACCTGGCTCAAACACAGATGCAGATATTATGGAGACTAAAAAACATTCTATTTGTCTGTCCTTTAGACACTAAGTAGACAAGCCTGCTGGATGTAAAAGCTTGTAAAAGCTGGGTGGCTGACCAAGTGGATTCTTTGTCTATTCTCTGGATGCATTTGGCTCTGGAAAATATGTCTTAATCTTCTGTTGGAGCTTTTAGATGAGATTTGTCCCCAATATTAGTTTCTTCTCTTTTTCTTTCTTTTTTTTTTAAAGACTAGAAATGGGGTCTCACTATATTGTCCAGGCAGGTCTTGAACTCCTGAGCTCAAGCGGTCCTCCCACCTCAGCCTCCCAAAGTGTTGGGATTAAAGGTGTGACCTACCGCACCCAGCTTATATTAGTGTAATAGACTACTGCAAACTTAGTTGCTTAAAACAACACACACTTATTATCTCACAGCTTTAGAGGTCAGAAGTCCCAGCAAGCTCTGTAGCGTTCTCTGTTCATGTCTTCCATGAGTTCTGGGGAATAATCAGCTGTCTCCTGAGGTCTCCCAGGCTGAAGTCAAGTTGTCAGCTGGATGGGACTCTTATCTGGAGACTCTGGGGAAGACTCTGCTTTGAAATGCATTCAGGGCTTATGCAGTGGCTCACACCTGTAATCCTAGCACTTTGGGAGATCCAGGAGGGAGGATCCCTTGAGCCCAAGAGCCATGATCTTGCCACTGCACTCTAGTGTGGGTGACACAGCCAGACTCTGTTTCACAAAAACAGAAAAACTTCTGTGGCCCCTCCATCTCTAAACCAGGGATGGTGTATCAAGTCCTCATGTTTCCAATCTCTCTGGCTTCCTCTTCTGCCACCCACCATAGAAACTCTCTGTATCTTACAGTCACCTCCCTTGTTTCATTACATCTGCAAAATCCCTCTTGCAGTACCTAGAGTAGTATGTGACTGAATAAACATGGGACAGAAATCTTGGGGGCCACCTTTAGAATTCTGCTGATTACACCCACAAATATGTCATCAATTTCTTCAATTTGGTTGAAGAAAATAATTTCCAGTACCACTCTGCTGTGGCACAAGGAACTGACTGGATGGGTGAATGGCAGAGGCAGGGAGATCAGTTATGAAGTAACTGCAAGAATCCAGGTGAGAGACAGTGGTGGCCTAGATCAAGTGGGAACAGTGGCAGAGGTGAGACACAGTGGCTGGGTAACATTTTTGAAGACGGAGTCAAGATTTGCTGATAGACTGGCTGCCCAATGAGAACATGACATTGAGAACGAGACAAGAACAATTCCATGATTTTGGCTTGAGCAACTAGGGTGATGAAGGTGTTATGTGCTGAATGGCGGAAGGTATGTCAGAGAAGCAAGCCTGAGAAATAAACATCCAAAGCTCAGCTTGGCCATAGCCATGTTAAGATATCCAAGTGGGGACACTGAGTAGGCAACTGATGTTTGGGTTAGAGGCTCATGGGAGCAGTCTGGGTGAGAGGATCATGGTGCTTAAACCTGTGATAGTGAAGATCACTGAAGGAGTGGGTATAAAAGACACAAGAAGGGGACAAAGACAGGGCCTGATGCACACCACTGTCAAAAGATGAAGAGGACTGAGCCAAGACCACTGAGCAAGAACAGCTAGAAGGCAAGTGTGTGGTGTCCTGGAAGAAAATCAAGGAAGTGTTTTAAGGAGCAACTAACTGTGTCATATGCTGCTGACATATACCATGTTGTTCAATACTTTAGGCTTGTCTATTTTTTAATCCCACAAATATTATTTTACCAGGACAATGTTTGTTTGTTTAGATTTATATACATGATTATACTTTTATTTACTCACTATTCTTTCTTACTAAAACTTTAGTCTATCCTCCTGGGGGTAATTTTCCTTCATTTTAGCACATCCTTTAGACATTTCTTTTGTGCAGGTCTGCTGGTGGCAAATTCTCAATTTTTCTTCTAATTTGAAGATACCTTTATTTCATCCTTGTTCTCAGAAGGTACTTACTGGGCACACTACAGTATTCTAGGTTGGGAGCTCTCTTTCAGTACTTCGAAGACATTCTCCCACTCTCTTTTAACTTCTGAGAAGTCAGCAGTCAGCTTGTCATTCCTTTGCAGGTGATCTTTTCCCCTTTTTTTTTTTGAGATAGAGTCTTACTCTGTCACCCAGGCTGGAGTACAGCAGCGTAATCTCAGCTCACTGCGACCTCTGCCTTCTAGGTTCAAATGATTCTCATGCCTCAGCCTCCCAAGTAGCTGGGATTACAGATGCGCGCCACCACGCCTGGCTAATTTTTGTATTTTTAGTAGAGACGGGATTTCACCATGTTGGCCAGGCTGGTCTTGAACTCCTGACCTCAAGTGATCTACCCACCTCGGCCTCCCAAAGTGCTGGGATTACAGGTGTAAGCCACCACACCCGGCCTCTTTTCCCATTTTTAACAAAAATTGTGGTAAAATACACATAACATTTACCATCTTGACCATTTAAAAATGTACAGTTCAGTGGTAATAAGTATATTCACATTGTTGTGCAACCATCATTACCATCCATCTCCAGAACTCTCTTCATCTTGTAAAACTCAGACTTTGTACCTATTAAACACTAACTCCCCATTTCCCCCTCTCCCAGCCCCTGGGAGCCACTGTTTTACTTCCTGTCTTTATGAACTTGACTACTACAAGTGTATCTCTTAAAAGTGTAATCATACAATGTTTATTTTTTTGTTTCTAGCGTTATTTCATTTAGCATTGTAGCATGGGTCAGTTTGCTCCCTTTGGAAGGCTGGATAACATTCCACTGGATGCTTAGACCACGTTGTGCTTATCCATTCATCCATCCATGGACACTTGGGCTGCTTCCACTTTTTGGCTACTGTGAATAATGCTGCCAAGATATGTCTTTAAGACTCTGCTTTCAGTTCTTCTATGTATAAACCCAGACTGCCAGATCATATATAACTTTATTTTTAATTCTGGGGGGAACAGTGGTACTGTTTTCCACAGAGGCTCCATCACTTTATACTTCCATCAACAGTGCACTAAGGTTCCAGTTTCTCCACGCTGTATGTGATACTTCTTCTCTGGCTGATTTTAAGATTTCTCTTTGTCTTTGGAGTTATACAATTTCATTATGAGAAATCCAACTAGTTTTCTTTCCTTCCTGCCTTCCCTCTTTCTTTCTTTAATCATGCTTACAATATGTTTTGCTTCTGGAATCTGTATATTCATGTTTTCCATCGGTTCTGGAAAGCTATCATCCCTGAATATTGCCTCTCCTTTGTTCTGGGATTCTGGAAATACATGAGTTGGATCTTCTCATTCTATCCTCCATATTCTTAGTATCTATCGTGCTTTCTATCTCCTTGTCTCTCTGAGCTGCATTCTGTGTACTTTTTTCAGATTCATCTTCCACTTCGTAAATTCTCTCTTATGTTTCATATGCTATTTAACATGTAAACTGAGTTTATTTTAAAAATTTCAATGAGTGTATTTTTCATTTCTAGAAGTTCCATTTGGTTCTTCTTCAGCTCCGCTTGGCCATACTTGACTCTCATCGTTATGATTTCATCTTTTATTTCTTTAAACATTTCATACACAGTTACATTATATTCTTTAGATTTCAATTCTAACATTTGGAGTCCTATCCACATCAATCTTCTGTTGTTTCTGCTATTCTTATTTATGGTGGCTTGCCTCTTCTTGTCCCTGGTGATCTTTAATTACTTCATCTTGGTCTGTGGGACTCCAACAGCACTGAATTGAAGATGTTTTTCTACAGAGAGGATTTCCATCTATTCAGGTGGGCGTCACGGTGTTTACCATCTGGAACCACTTAGGACAAATCATGGTTCTGGTTTTGGTTTATGGTTTGTTCTTTTTAGGGTAGGGAAGGAGGCTATTGCCTGATTTTACCTATTTCCTGTGAGCTCAGTAACATTTTAAATAAGTATGTTTTATTCAAGATATATAGCTATTTCTCTAATGTATCTTAAATATTCCATCATTTTGCCCAAGGAGAAAGTCTTACCATTTTCTTCATCCTTTTGGGGAGGTGGGTGATAAATATTTTCCATACAGTGTGAATACATAGTGTATTATCATTTTTCTGCTTAAAAAATTCCCTAAAATATGAAGAACAATGGGCTGGGCACAGTGGTTCACGCCTGTAATCCCAGCACCTTGGGAGGCCGAGGCGGGCGGATTGCTTGAAGTTAGCAGTTCGGGACCAGCCTGGCCAAGATGGTGAAACTCAGTCCCTACTAAAATACAAAAATCAGCTGGGCATCGTTGCGCACGTCTGTAATCCCAGCAACTCAGGAGGCTAGGGCAGGAGAATCACTTGAACTTGGGAGGTGGATTGCAGTGAGCCGAGACTGCGCCACTGCGCTCCAGCCTGTGTGACACAGCGAGACTCTGTCTCAAAAAAAAAAAAAAAAGAAAAAGAAAAAGAAAAAGAAAAATAAAGAAAAACGATTCAATGTTCAATGTAGTTATTTTCAAATAAAAGTTTTGTATGCCACAGAATACTTAAAAGAAAATCAGACAAATCATTTATATTTTAAAATCCCCTGAACACAAGACTGCTCAGTGACATGAAACAAAGACTGAAAAACAAAAGCAAAAGAGTACCCAACAACTTCATTGTTTTAGCTTATTGTTAAAAAGAAAGAGAGGAAAAAAAGGAGGTAATGGAATAAGGCTTTTGCCTCTCTGGTTTCCCAGACTTAGGAGCCTAAGTTTTAAAAAGTCAAGTTATAGGGACTTCTGAGTCACATTCTCACCTTTATACTCCCCCCAATAAGATCAGGAGGCTCCTCATCTGTTTCCAAGGCGACATTTACAGAGGCAAAGGGACGGCTGGCCATCTGTTGCATCTCTCGAAGAAGTTGCTGATAAATAATATGGCAAAGTCATTAATGGAATGAGTACTGAGGGGCTTTTATTAGTGAATGCTACATGTTAAAAACACCTCATCTTCCCTGATTCAAACAAATCAAGTCCAAAATGATACTTTTTAGACTGCATATTAGGTAACATTAGGGATTATTAAATTTTGTTGGATGTGATAACACCATTGTTCTTATATTTTTAAAAAGCCCCTGTTAGAGATAATTATTCAAGTACTATGTTTATTGTAGCACTATTTACAATAGCAAAGACTTAGGACCAACCCAAATGCCCATCAATGATAGACTGGATAAAGAAAATATGGCACATATACACCATGGAATACTATGCGGCCTTAAAAAAAATGAGTTCATATCCTTTGCAGAGACATGGATGAAGCTGGAAGTCATCAGTCTCAGCAAATTAACACAGGAACAGAAAACCAAATACTGCATGTCCTCACTCTTAAGTGGGAGCTGAACCATGAGAACACATGGACACAGGGAAGGGAACATCACACACTGGGGCCTGTTGCAGGGGGTGGGGGGTCAAGGGGAGCGAGAGCATTAGGACAAATACCAAATGCATGCAGGGCTTAAAACCTAGATGACGGGTTGATGGGTGCAGCAAACCACCATGGCACATGTATACCTATGTAACAAATCTGCAAGTTCTGCACATGTATCCCAGAACTTAAAGTAAAATAAGAAAATAATAAAAATAAAAGTACTGTAGATGTAATGCTATGATGTCAACTTGTCAAATACATAAAATGGTATGGCCCTATCTCCTCATCTTTCTACTACTAAAGTCAGGCTTGCTCTCTTCCTACTGAAACTTGCACCAATAACTCACACAACAACAAAAACCCATGCCTCATTATATGGCAGATAGGAACGGAGCGAACCCTCCTTTAGAGAGGTGGTATAAGCTAAAAACATAAACAAATGTGAAATTTTGCAGAGTAGAGGAACAGACAGGGGCACTGGATTTAGGGAGGCTTGATGTGAACTCCTGCTTGCTCCAATAGTCTACAGCTGTGTGACCTTAAGAAAGGTGTTTGAAGTCTCTGGGCATCAGTGTCCTCCCTCTGAAATGTGTTCCTATCCCATAACGTTGTCACTGGGATCAAATGAGATACTATAGCACAGTGCCTAGCACATGGTGAACGGCCTTTCACATATCATTAAGGATATTAGAGATCTTCTGGGCATGATGCTGAAGCTTTGAGGTTATGCCTTGGGAGACAAGTAGGCCTTACTTCAAATTGCCTCCTTGGAACTACTGTAGGAGACAGAATCTTGGCCTGGATAGATATGGCTCTGTTCTAGAAGGGCATTTTTATGATAAGTATTTTCTTAAAATACCAACATTCTTACATTTTATAAAACTGTAGGTCCATTTACTCAACTAAAAAAGGCAGCAATGTTCCTCTGGGGTCTGTGCTATTCTAACTGCTGGGGTCACAATAAGACAGGGTTCAGGAGGCAACATGTGTAAAAGCACTTAAAACGGGGACTGGTGTGTAGCAAGGACTAAACAGCGTCAGCCGCTACTATTATTGTTTTTAAAAATAATATCAAATAATTGCCAATTTTTGAGAGGGAATAAATAATGACTGACATTTTAGAAATGATGAAATATATTCTGAATGGTCAGCTTCACAGTTACAGAGAAATTCCAAATCACATGGGTAAAAGCATAGTTTATTAGATGATCAACTCCATACTAAACATATATATATATATATTTTAACCTTTTTCCTATAGGCTGTGCATCTTACTTTCTCTCATGCATGTTACAATTTCCAGTTGATTGTTTAGCTTCTGTGTTATTCATTTATTTTTGACATACTTAAGCCTTCATTTTTATGCAGACAAATCTCTACTATACTATTTTAATAACTTTATACAAAAATAATAATTTTGTTTTCTTTCCAATAGTTACAATACTTCTTAGTGCCCTTTCATTTAGTGCACAGTCTAGAACATCCAGCACAAAGGTGAGTGACTGCAGGATTACAAGAAGATAACGAACTTGGGCTGTGAAGACAGAAGTCCCTAGTTAAGGCTGTGAAGACAGAAGTCCCAGAAGTCCCTTGTTAAAGCCTCGTACTCCCTCTTAGTTAACTATGTGGTGTTAAGTTACTTCACCTTTCTGAGCCTCAGTCCCCTCATCCATAAAACACAGCTAGTGACAATACCTATTTCATAGGTTTGAGATGAGGATTCATCTGTGTAAAACCACTTAGAACTCAGTGCCTGGAATTTTGAAATGCTCAGATGTCAGCTCTTGTTAAAACTGACTTGTCTGGATACAACCTCTGGTGTTTGTTTGTTTTATCATGAGTGATGCTGGTTATCCAGATATTCTTCATAGTGTTAAAAAGGTATTTTTGATTTTACTGTGAGTTTTGTTTTCAAATTAGGAATGGGTATTGAGTTTTAATAAATGACTAAATGATTACTTGGCCTCTAGGAAGAATTCAGGTGTTATTTTTTCCCCATTGACAGGATATATTCTTTTTTTCACATGATGTAATAGGTTTTCTAATATTAAGTGACTCTTTCATTACACTACAATTAGACTGCTGCACACACAGTCACTATGCGGCTGGCCTTTATATTTTGGTGCTGCCTTTGTCAGGTTTTGGTACCAAGATTTCTGTGTATAAAATCATTCAGACTCTTTCGAGCTTTCCATCTGTTCCTTTGCTTTACAGATTTTAGAAACAATTAATTCTCATAAGCACTCAGGGAGGAACAGGCTATCATTATCTCCATAAGCTCATCTCAACCTTGAAACTCCCTGGGTCTAATGTCCTTCTTGGAGAAAGTAGCACTTAGACAAAGTTTTCAACTCCTTTCTTGGTTACTGGTTTACTGTGGCTTCTTACTTCTTACTCCACTGTGAATAAATATACATTTAAATTAAATTGAAAATATAATTTTTTCAGAACATCATGTAATTCATTAGGATTTTAAAGTGTATCAGTAATACAGCTATCTAAAAAACCCTTTGAATATGTTATCCCCTGAATTTAAAACCTAATAATAAAGAGTGTGCAACATTCCCTCTATGATAACATCATCTTTATGTGGGTCAGAAAAGGTGGTACTGTGGCCCACAACAAAAGGCCCTTATCCTGGAGCCTGTCTTAATCCTATTCAGACATGAACGTCCTATAAACAGTGCTGAATGCTTGTGAGCTGTGATTTTAGATACTTCCCTTCTCTTCTAAATCTTATCTATAAATAAATTTTTATGTAGAAAAAGGCATGAGCAGATCCAAAAAAAACCCCAGACAGCTTCTTTGTCTAGCTCTTATATACAGGTGAGCATTTCCATTAGCAACAATGCAACAGGCATGACTAAATGAAAGGCAAAGTAATGATGCAAGTGAAAGTTGCCATAAACAAAGTTTTTATGTTGTAATTATTTTAATGGTGGTTTTTTTAAAAAAATTATTTATTTATTTATTTATTATTTCAATAGGTTTTTGGGGGAACAGGTGGTGTTTGGTTATATGAATAAGTTCTTTAGTGGTGATTTCTGAGATTCTGGTGCACCTATCACCCGAGCAGTGTACACTGTACCCAATGTGTAGTATTTTATCCCTCACCCCCCTCCCACTCTTTCCCCCGAGCCCCCAAAGTCCATTGTATCATTCTTATGCCTTTGCATCCTCAGGGCTTAGTTCCCACTTGTAAGTGAGAAGATATGAAGTTTGATTTTCCATTCCTGAATTACTTCACTTAGAATACTGGTCTCCAATTCCATCCAGGTTGCTGCAAATGTATATAAATATATATATACACACTACACTACCCCCCCATTTTCTTTATCCACTCATTGATTGATGGGCATTTGATATGTTGTAATTTTCAACCAAGTTTATGTATTTAAATTTGTCAACTGTAAATGTTTGCTTGACTTACTACTTTTGGAATGAAGCTCTGGAAACAAATCAAGACTTATTAAAAAATAAAATTCAAGTGGAAAACTTAACTACACACACATTTATCTTTCCTTGAAAAATGAAAAATTTTTGAGATGCTTAAATGGCTGACTTCCCTCTCCCATGAAAAGTTCTCGTGAAGGTGGTGCCTAATCATATGGTGGCTGAGCTGTGCTAATAAGCCCTTGGATCTCTGGCCTCAGTCCGGACTCGGGTTCTGGTCGGAAGGATAAAACTGGCATTTCTAAGTCAACACCAGAGTTTCCTTTTAGGAAGGTAAGACCCTGTGGTGCAGAGCTAATTACACTTTATGTAGCACTCATCTAACTCTACTGACCATATGCTGCGGAACCATGGGTTGCAGAAAGCGCTGCATTATTCCTACCATGGAGATGTCTGTCTGTCCATTATCACTGAATAGCTAAAACCCACTTGCTTAAGAGAAAAATAAAGAAAAAAACCTCTTCCAGAGATTCTTTAATCTTTACTCACTGAGGCTTACCTCTCTACGTCTGGAGGCCCAACAACTTTGTTTGATCTTCCAAACCACAGCAGCCACCAGGAGCAAAGAGAGGAAACAACTGTGAGAAAGCAAAGTACTGAGTTATTATCCCAGCCCCCAGAATCAGCACCCATCATTGCCCACACCACAGGCCAGGCAGTGAAAACAGCTCCCAAATGCCACCTCTGGGCTCCCTTCTGATGCTCTGTCACAGCAATGTGCCGGCTCAGGAGGCAATGAGTGAGACAACTTCGGTGAGCCAGGCTTCCTAGCCAGGCCTCTAGACTGTATTGTTCCCACGTGGTACTCAGAGAGAGCCCTGACCTTCCACTCGGCCTTTATCACAATGGCCCACAGTGGCTTATCCCAAATAAGAAAAATAATTCTAAGATAATTACAACAAATATTAGTCATGCTGTTTATTCAAGTTAGCAAACATTTACTGGTAAAATCTAAGAAGGTGAAAAAGTTAATTATTAAAGTAACAATCAACTTTTCATAAGGAAGAGGCAAACAGAAGAAGAAATGTGTATAATTTTTAGTGTATATTCAATATTTTTACAAATATGTATTTTTAAATAAAACACATTTGAAATGATCAAACCCAAGCCAACAACTTTCTTACAAATATTAAGAGAAAATAACTCCTAGTGACCTTAATAGTTGCAGAGGATTTCAATGCTCTCTCATGTATAAACCAGGTGTGGAATGATTTGAAAAGCAACAGTGATGGCAAAGAGAATAGCTGACTTGCGGTTAAAAGGAAGAACGAGTTTAACAAGTAAAAAAAATAGATAACTGCTATAACTGCATTTTTACTCATTAACTTGTAAAAGGGGCTAGCTACAGGGTATTTTTCCAGAGTGCTACATGCAGACATAAGGCTCTCTGCCAGTGTCATCAAGGTACTCTCTTGCTGGCTGAGCTCTGCATTTGTAGGATGGGGTCAGCTTCATGAATGGCACCTCAGTGCACCCAAGTGCTGATACCAACACAGCCCTCCTGGGCTGGCTGGATAAAGGGACTCTAAGATGCTAGGATGACTGAACTGCCCTTACCTCAAGGCTCCCTCAAGGCTCACTGCCTCCCTAAGGGGTACAAGGGTGCAGACCCCTCCAATGGGTGCCCTGACAAAAGGCAATTCAACAGGATTGCCTTCCAAACCCCCCAGGATCGTCACTTGGTGGAAAGCCTTCATCTCTGGGCCTTTCTGCTATCAGGACACTGGCAACTCTTCTCTCTGACAGTCTACATTGTCTTTTTTTTTGAGACAGAGTCTCGCTCTGTCACCCAGGCTGGAGTGCAGTGGCATGATCTCAGCTCACTGCAACCTCCGCTTCCCAGGTTCAAGCGATTCTATTCTCCTCTTTTAGCCTCCCGAGTAGCTTGGACTACAGGTGTGTGCCATCACGCCCAGCTAATTTTTGTATTTTTAGTGGAGACGAGATTTCACCAAGTTGGCCAGTCTGGTCTCGAACTCCTAACCTCAAGTGATCTGCCTACTTTGGCAAAGATTACAGGCCTCACATGACTGGCCTACATTGTCTTTTTAATCAATACTTTAATTGGGTCAGGTCCTGTTCTAGGCTCATGGAAAACACTGATAAACAGAGCAAAGACTACTGTCCCATGGAGTTTACATTCCAGCAGGTGGAGACAAACAGTAAGTAAATAAGCAAATTACAGAGCATGCCAAAAGGTAGGTAAGTGCTACAGAAATAAAAAGATGGTAAGAGCAGGGGGTTCAAGAGTACCAGTGGCACTCCAGAGCAGGAGGGTCAGAGTAGCTGGGCCTTTCTTTCTCAGAAGGTGACATTTGAGCAACAACTTGGAGAAGGTATGGGAGGTGGCTCATGGACGCCTGCAAAAGTGCATCTGGAAAAAGGGGCAGTCAGTGCAAAGCCCGAAGCAAGGCTGTGCCTGGGATGGCTTGGGGAGCCTCAGGAGGCCAGCATGTTTGGAGTGGGGTGTGTAAGGCCAGAGATAAATGCAGAGAGAAGGGTGAGGGTGAAGGGCAGATCATGTGAGGCACTGCAGGCATTATGAGGGCACTGGGAGAGAAAGCCAGTGCAGGTTTTTAAACAGAAGTGTTGTGATTTAATGTTTGCTGACAAGACCATTAGGGGTGCAATGGCATTATCAGGGAGACCAGCAGTCTAGGTGAGATGATGGTGGCTCAAACCAGGGCGGTGGTAGCAGAGGTGTGAAAAGCACTTTGGAATCTGGACATATCAGGAGATCCATTTTAGACATGCAGAACCCTGAGACATCTACCGGACAGCCCGGGGAGATATCCTGGGCAGACATTCTAACCTGGAGGCTGGCTGCCAGGTCTGGGCTGGGCATGGCATTTGGAAAGCATCAGGATATATATGGTATTTCAAGCAATAAACCTGGCCACGGTCACTAAGAGAGTGAATACAGATAGACGAGAATGTCCTGGGGCTGCCCTAACAATGAGAAGTTGGGGAGAACAGGAAGAACCAGTAAAGAGGTCTGAGAATAACCTTCTCAGTCTTTCTTGGCTTCCGTGTGTAATCCTGATTTTTGTCATTTTTATTTTAATAGATAAACATAAGGAGGCAGCAAATTCACAAGGAAAAGCACGAAGCCAACGGGAACAGCTTCTAAGTTGGTCAAGAGCCTGTTGCCGCTGCTGAGAGGCGAGGACCCTGGTGTCACTCAGAAGCCTCTCTTGGGTCCACCTGTAATACAGTTGGTGCCTGCTTCCCTCTCAGAGAAGGTGAGAGGGCCCTTCTGTATTCAGTGCAGATCTGTTGACAACACCAGTTACCCAGTTCTTTCTACTTGCTCCTCCAGCTACAAGAAGTGACAGAACAGCAAGCAAGGGAGAGTCTCTTATTTCCCTCTTTATAGAGGCTCCTTCCTGAGGCTGGAAAAGCATCTCATTAGGACACAAAGAGGTCTCAACAGACTGCATCAGGACCTAGAGTTTACTTCTCTGTGCCCTGAGTCTGGAAATACTTTTTCTAACTCACCTTACATTGATTTTCTCATTTGAATCATCGAATTTCCCCCCGACTTTTATTCTCTTTTCCATATATTAGCCATTTTTCAGAGTGCTTAGGATTATCTGGATACCTTTCCCCTTTTCCTTATAGGCTCCATTTTGAATTCCTTTGGACCAGGCTGGGAGCAGTGGCTCACGCTGGCAATCCCAGCACCTTGGGAGGCTGAGATGGGAGGACTGCTTGAGGCCAGAAGTTTAAGACCAGCCTGGGCAATATAGGGAGAACCCAACTCTACAAAAAAGAAAATATTAGCTGGGCATGATGGTGCATCCCTGTAGTCCCAGCTCTACTTGGGAGACTGAGGTGAGGAGGACTGCTTGAGACCAGCCCAGGAGTTTGAGGCTGTAGAGGGCTAGGATTGCACCACTGTGTTTCAGCCTGGGCAACAGAGACCCTATCTCAAAAAAAAAAAAAAAAAAAAAAAAAAAAAGCTAAATAAATTCTTTTAGACATAGTTAACTTGCTCTGGGAAAATATTTTCTTCCCCATGTCATGAAAATAACTCTATTCTTAGCTAAAAGTTTATCATCACTAGTTAGTAAACATTGTCTAGAAAAACCAAAGTTCCGGATTCTTTTCCAGAATTTCAACCGCCACAAGGGAGAAGTAATGAAAATGCCATCTGTCCTTGTTTACTACATGAGAGGCCATGGGCCTGAAAAATACTTCCCCCATGTATTCTGATAGTGTCATTCGGTCGTCCAGGGACTGAACGTCCAGTAGAAGTGGCTGGTCCTCACCGGGCTGGTACTTGGCAGCAGGGCCATCTTATTCCATACACATGCTCTAAGAATTTAAGGATGTCTACTAAGTGGAGCTAGAATACAGCCCCTATATCCCTTAAAAGCAAGCCACTGACACAAGCTTTTTTCCCTGAGAGGTTGGTGCCTATGGTTCCTCCTTACTCTGCACTTATCCTGAAGAGTCTAAGTTTACCTGCCACAAATATCTTACCACATTATGTACTAGATGCTGAAGGCGTGTGTGTATAGGACTGAACGAGAGACAGTGCCCTGCTCCCCTGAAGCTTGGTCTATTGACCCAGATATTAAGCAAGTAAACATATGAATATATTCTTCAAAGTGTGATGAATACCATGATGAAAAATAATACAGTTCTACGGGAGAGAGGAACAAGGGGAGACAATTTAGCTTAGCCCTTAGAATTTTCAGACAGACAGGAGTGTCTTTTGTGTGCTAATGAATGACTCATGGGGAGAGGGGCCTAAAGAGCCTCAAATGTGGGCTGGTCACCAGAAAACCCAACTAGGTGGTTAGTGGGTTAGAACTTTCAGCCCCATCCCCCAACCTCCAGGAAGGGGAAAGGGGCTGGAGATGAGTTCAGTCACCAATAGAAAGTGATTTCATCCATCCTGCCTATGTAATGAAACTTCAATAAAAAAACTCAGAATGATGAGGCTTAGGGGAGCTTCCGGGATAATGAACATATCCACGTGCAGGGAGGAGGCTTGTCCAGAGAGGGCATGAAAGAGCTGTGCTCACCCACCTCCATGCCTTGTGCTATTCATGTCTTCCATTTGGCGGTTCCTGAGTTGTACCCTGTATAATAAGACTGTAATTCTATGTATAGTGCTCTCCTGAGTTCTGTGAGCTGTTCTAACAAATTGTCAAATCTTGGAGTGAGCAGTCACCAGAAGCCCTGAATTTGTAGTTGGCCCAGTAGCAGTGAGGTAGCCTGGGGACCCATGTGTGCTTAGTGTCTGAAGTGGGAGCAGTCTTATGGAACTGAGCCCCTAATCTGCAGGATTTGCTTCAACTATGGGTAGTGTCAAAATGGAACTGAACTGTGGGACACTGGAGAGAGAATTGGAGAATTTGTTATTGTCTGGAAAAATCAACCAAGGCATGAAAGTATACAGAATGAAGGGTAGTGGGAAGAGTGTTCTAGAAAATGGGATAAGCATGTACAAATGTTCAGTGTAGGGCAAGAGCCTGTGCTTTTGAGGACATAGGAGATGCCCCTGGTAGCAGAAATGTGGAAGAATAGAGTGCAAGCTGAATGTGGAGAAGTAAGCAGAGGCCAGTTC